CTGAATTTCCCATTCATCTCTGTGAACAATAATGCAATGGTCCAAGAATTGCCTCCATCCTTTCCTCCTGAATTTAAAAGCAGCAGTAGAGGAAAAACTAAAAATATTTTTAGATAGAGAAATTTAAAAAAAATTCTCATTGTTTCAGAACTTTAATTTCCATAGCCAAACATTATTTTGTTAAATTATATCATGTGATACTTAAAGGTTTAAGAAATGTATTTTATATATATATATATATATATATATATATATATATATATATATATTTATATATTTGCTAGCAGGTATAAAATCTTCAAACCTAACTAATAGTTCTAAGTACAAATGCCACTAGCTTAATGAGATTTAATCGAAATTACTAACTAAGAGGACTTTATTAGAGATTCGTATGTCACTTCAATACTCACAAATGAACAAAAAATTGTATCCAATATTGCATGTTAAATAGTTCCAATTATTTCTCCCATAGTGTTAGAATATTCTTAGATATATGAAGTGAAAGACTACTTGATGCAAATTAATGCTTTATGAATCAATGTTATTTTTAAATTCAATTTATTGTTAAATAAATTAAGACAATTAAAAATTAAATCTGTAGCATCAATATGCCTGAGTATGATCATTTAAATTATGAGCCTACAAAATAAAATAAAGTTATGGAAGGTAATTTGAGATTTGAATCAAGAATAAAATACTGCTTATTATAGTTAATAGAATAATCTAAATTACTATGCTTAGTTTTAAATTTAAACATCTTTGCTTAATATAATGGTTATGTCTAATTAAACCTTATTTATAGCAAGGATAAGAGTACCTCCTTTTTTTGTGCTTCTAAACTTTGGATCTAGATGAACCTTAACAATAGTACAGAAAAAGGAATAACATGTTCACACACTCAGTAATACAACGATTTAGGGTAAAATATAATAAACTAGAAGCTGAATGCATGAAGATTCGTGCAAGAATGGCCTTTCCTTCCCCTGGCTGCCAGCACCACCTTTCGCTCTGCCGAGAGCTGTCTTTCTGCTTTCCCGTGCTGCCCAGAGGCCCCGAATGGCTGGGATAGTGCGGAATGCCTGTGTTGGCTTTGTTGGGTTAATTTGCATACTCACTCCTACTTGGATGGTTGGCATTGCAAAGGTATGGTCAATTTGCATCTTACTCTTTTATTAGTGTAGATCATTTAAATGTGATTAATATATGTTGCTCATTTGATATTGATAATATGGGTAAATATGTTTTAAACCAGCTTATTGTGTTTTCATTACATAGCAGACTAAAATTATTAAATCTATTCAATTAAATTATGATAATTCCTAAAACCTAGTTGTAATTTTTCTTATTTATCATCTCTAACAGAAATTTATAAATAAATCTATATGTATTTTTCCATAATTCTTAGTAACATGGATTTCAGAGTGGATGTACAGATCCTGTTATACTAGTGCCCATATCAGACTCCAGAAAATGAGAATTCAGAAAACAGGGCCTAATTAATGATCAGAACTGAGGGCTCCTCTGTAGTTTTTGGCAGGCAGGAAAGCATCAAGGTTAAGGACATGGATGCCTGGAATTAGAAAATTAAAGAGGAAGAAAGGAAGAAGTGAGGAAGAGGAGAAAGAAGGAAAGTATGGAAGGAAAGCACACAAAGACCAGGTTGAGAAAAATCTAGGCTTCAGTTCTCAATCTAGTATTAGTTAGTAAATGGTCCCAAGGAATTAACAGTCTGTTCTCAGTAACTTAGCATCCTGATTCATAAAATGAGGCTTTCTAGATGAAACCACTAGAACCTTTCAATTTCAAGGAATGAGAGAAAAATAAACATACTGTAGGTACATCAATATTGTCTATCTTTACTCAATAGAGCCTGATTATCAGGGTCTTATGATCATTTACATCAATACATTTCAGTGTACTTCATTATACACATGATTTTAAATACATTCTTTGATCTTACAACCTTAGTGAAATGGACACATAAATAATTAGTACAGACTACAGTACAGAGGAGAGAGGGATTAACTGTGTGAAGACCTACATATTTGGCATTTGTGTTAGACTTGGAAGAACGAATAAAATTCCATCAAAAAAAAGCAAAAAGAAAAAAACAGTAAGCATCTAAATAAAATATTTTAAAATATATTTTATTGACTTTGTTAAATATTCCAACTGTAATTATGTAAGGGCTCCAGATAAGACCAGCAGAAGAACCACCCAGCTGAGCCCAGATAGTAAATTAATAATTTGAGTAAGACAAGAGGTGCTGTTCTAGAAAAAAAAAAAAATCGATTGAGGCATTTGTTTTGGCACTAAATAGATTGTAAAGGCTGGAAGAATAGCAAGGAGTTGAGGGTAGAAGAGAAGCAAAGCAATTGCTATTGGAGATAATGAAAGGTAACACTGACTGTGATAACTGGGAAAACAGAAAAAAAATTCATAATAGTGCTGTGGATCATATTAAGACTGTTCTTCAGCTCTTAAAACTGGCAACTAGCACATGGACAATTCTTATAAATGACCAGAATGACTCAGGGGGCAGCCAAAGCCACAGACAAATATTCCCTGCCTCTACAGTAATGGATCCTTACAGTATATATCCAGACTTCAGAATCACAATGAACCAGTAACTACTGTATACATGCCTTTAGAAATTGGAGTCTCTTTTACAGTCATCCTGTCTCTGTCCTGTATATGTTGTATGTGTGAGGAACAAGTTTCATTTTAGTTCTTAGTTCTCCAGGTTAAGAGAAACTTTAGCTTCATACACATCTGGAATTGATTTTAATTATGCTCTTCTTGACTTCAACACAATATCATATTAGATAAATCTCTGGGAGGGTGTGGGTATTTGTACATCACAGAAAAGATTAATCATGAGAAGCTATACAGTGAACTGTGGTACACTATCATATTGGCAACTCACTATAAACACACTTCCAGGTGTTCAACCCTTATGTAGTCCCATCATATACTCACTTTATACCTGGCCATGTGACAAACTCTCTCTTAAGCCAGCTACTTTACTGTAAAAAGGCTTGAACTAGATTTTTAAATGATGAGAGGTCATCTAGAGAAAGCCCCTAGAACAGTGGTTTCAACTTTTCTAAAGCCGTGACCCTTTAATACAGTTCCACATGTTGTGGTGACCCCCAACCATAAAATTATTTTTGTTGCTACTTCATAACTGTAATTTTGCTACTATTATGAATCATAATGTAAATATCTGTGTTTCCTGATGGTCGTAGGCTCTACAGCAGCAGTTCTCAACGTGGGTTTCGATCGACAGGTTGAGAACTGCTAACTGGGTCGCCTAAGACCATACACACACACACACACACACAGTGTCACATTAGTACTTGAAATATAGTTTATTCATTTAGATTCCAATTAATCTGCCACTTAGGTATATGTAATTCAGAGTTATTTTGGGAGATAACTTATTGGGAATATTGATTGATGGCAATAGAGCCAAGGATAAAAATATTGTCATAGGATAGAAATGAGTGGTATGAAGAAAAACATCAAGAATGCACACTGTACACTCATGTTTCTGCACTCAAATTATATATAGGTAACAAGCCATAAAAACAGATGAGTCTAGCAGCAGCTCTAGATGAGCTGATAATGATTATCTATTGTGAAAAATCAATTTTGCTAAACAATGGAAGGAATTTTAAGGAATGTACTGATACATAAAAATGTAACTTCACAGAACAAACATATTGAGTAAAAAACCATCAAGCCATCAGTGATTGTCATTATTTGTATTTCTGTAGTCAACACCATGAAAAACTACACATATTTAATAATAGCAAATCACATAAATTGTTAGGTTATAAAATGACTCTGTAAATATTTTTAAAACTTTATTTTTACCAATAAACACCCAGCTTTTCCTATTTTAAAATATAGTGAAACTACATGGGTAGTATGTCTAATGTTTATCCCAAGTTCTTATCGTATTCTTAACCTCATTGAATAATTACTCATATATATGAATTTTTCCTTAGACTCTTTTCTAATGCAAAATATTTTATAGAATCCACCAAAGGATAACTTATGACTTATTTTTCTTCTATTCTAAATCTTTGTTATGAATAAATAACAGTTTTAAGTTCAATTTATATTGATAAACTTCAATGAAATATATTTTAATTTTTAAATAGAGAAAATTGCTTATTTTTCTTAAGAATATACTTCAGACATTTTATACAAATATTAAAATTTTCAAATGGCCACATACTCATCATTGAAAGTGCTAGTGAACTTTTCAAAACCCAAGAGTTTAAGTATATAAAATATTTAAATATTCACACATATTATTCATAATCATTTAGTATATAAAAGGATGCTTTTCTCATTTATTTTCATTCTTTTAATAAATATAAATATAGAACCAACAAAAAAAGTCAATAAATTTAATAACTGGTAGAAAAACTTGTAAATAATTTACTATTGAGAGGGGAATATATCTGTTACTATTTGCCAAACAATAAATGTATTTCTATATTTGTGTGTTGATTATGAGTTTTAAAATAAAAAAATATATATATATATAGATTATCTTTGTCAGGGATATGTAATATTTTTAAATGTATGTATTTATTAGATTAATAAACCTTAATAAAAATTCACATAAATAAATCATTTTATTTGGAAAACTATAGGTATTATATTATCATAACAATTGGAAATGGAATAGTTCTAAACTTAAAACAACATGAATCGAACCAGAGAAGGAGAACCAGAGATTGGACTTTCAAACCTCAGAGGGAAGGTGGGGGAGGATGGGGGTGAGGGGAAGAGATCAACCAAAGGACTTGTGTTCATGCATGTGGGCCTAGCCAGTGGCCATGGACAACAGGGGTTGAGGGGGGCATATCTAGGGAGGGGTTTGGGATGGGAATGGGGGAATAAGGCCAATTATGTGAGACCATAATCAATAATAAAAAAAAAGCCTGACACTTAGACATATAATAAATTTGAATGTTTCTTACCATGGCAAGAACCCTCAATCTCTTCATATCCTGTACTGCAGATGCACCTTCCAAGAGGAACCAGCCAATCTCCATCAGCTCCACAATATAGTTTAGGAGTGTCTCGCTCTTCTGCACTCTTCACACAAGCACCCCTTACTTCCACCAAAGAGGAAGAGTCAACCCTTGGGATGGTGTCAGGAAACATGGCCAAGTTACGCACAGTGAAGGGACACTTTTTGTAGAACACACGGACTGATACCAGGGCAATGCAGGCCCCAATGTCTTGAAAAGCCAGATAAAATCCTTTCCTTTCGATAGGCCCCACCTCACGGATTTCAGTGTTGAGCTTGAGGATGCGATCACCCAAATCCATCTGGGTAAAGCTTTCATCAGCAGCAATTGTATCGATCTTTGTATACTGGCTTGGCTTGAATTTAATTCCATGGGACTCATCTGATTCCACATAATACAGATTAAATGTTTCTTTGCAAGTCCCCACAACCCATGGGATGCTGTTACAATCCCTCAGTGTGAACTTCATTTCCACATAAATTTTCTGAGCTGCATCTCGGGAGATCCAGTTTGTACGAAGCCAATTGTTTTGATTTGGTTCCATTACATTGCATACCTGGTATGTGTGAATGGGCCTGTTATGTTCATCCATTTCAGTAATGGCATCCCACTGCAAAAAATAATAATAATAAATGTTTATAAAACTACAGTGGTTAATCAGAAATTATTGCTTTCCAAATTTTCTATATTTGCAAAAGAAAATGAATAAAAAGGATACAACAAAAGCTAGTCTAAGCAACTACACACCAATATTTTAACCATGACCTTTGGTTAGAAGTATGGGTTTTGGACATACCATCTGTCCTGGTGAATCTTAACTTTCTATATAATAGTTGCATGACCAAGCGCTACTAAATTTAAATTCTGGTTTTCTTAAATGTAAAATGTACCTAATTTCTCAGGGTTATTGTAAGGCATGAATTAATTAATATAGATAAATCACTTCAAATAGTTTCTGGTACACTATAACAATGTAAAATATCTGATCAAATAACTAGACCAATGACAAATGCACTCTGGTTTCCCATCTATCCTCATAATAAATTTGCCACCACCAATTGAGAATATTTACTATTATTCAATTAAATATTTACATGTTTATTTTAATAGGAGATAGACATAGATAAGTCTTAGATTAATTCAAGAAATATTTAACAGACAATGTTCTGGATCCTTGGAATACAGCAATTAACAAGCTAAACAAAATACCTTGCCTTTATGGGTCTTACTTATAGTGAGAAAAGACAATAAAAATAAAAATTGTAGCCCTGGTTGGTGTGGCTCAGTGGTTAAGAGCATCAGCTCCTTCCAGGACCCATGAGTTATGGGTTCCATTCCTGGTAAAGGGCACATATCTGGGTTGCCTGTTTGATTCACAGATTGGTTGGGGCACCTGTGAGAGGCCACCAACTGGCGTCTCTCTCTCTCTCTCTCTCTCTCTCTCTCTCTCTCTCTCTCTCTCTCTCTCTCCCCGCCCCCCTTTTCTCTCTCTCCAGCTCTCCTTCCTTTCCACTCTCTCTGGAAAATAATAGAAAAATATATCCTCCTATGAACATTAACAAAAATAAAATTCTATGGGACTCATCTGATTCCACATAATACAGAATTTTTATAAAATATAAAAATATAAACATTAAAATTGTAAGTGAAGAATTTGCATAATACACTAGAAAGTACAATGGGAAAAATTAAGGGAGGAAGGTGCAGAAGAAGGTTGTGATTTTAAATAGGGTGTCCACAGTAGGTCTTACTGAGGAAGTGACATTTGACCAATGTCTCAAAGTTGAGAGTGAACCTTGAGAAAATAGCGCAAATATCCTGAGGCAGGAATGTACAGGTATATTTTAGGAACACCATGAGTGGGTGCTAGAAACACACTAGGTAATAAGAAAAGAGAATCAGAAAATAGCAAAATAAATAAATAAATAAATAAATAACAACCCTTTACAAGCTTTCTAAGCACTTTGGCTTTTATTCTGAGCTGGATCACTAAATATATTGCTTCTGCATTGTACATAAAAGCATTTTCCCACCTATTTAAATAGAAGAACCTTATTTATCCTTTTTAAAATTTTTAATGAAAATCTTTAAGTACTTTGTAATTGTTATTTTCAGTATTTATGCATAGAATATTGCATAAGTCTATAATATAAATTTATATTGTAATTGCATTTTATTTCTATATAGTTGTAATTTTCAACAGAAAAACAATTCTGAGAATTTTATAGCCAGTTTGGAGAAACAGGCTATTCACCATAGTTTCTCATTTCTATTAAAGTTTAGTGAGAATTATAAACAATTTTTATAGTGAGTAGATATTCAATTTTCCTGATTTTATACTGTAGTGAATTATAATAAGATTATTTAATGCATTCTGTTTGCAGTTTCTCATTTTAATTGGCTGTACAGAGTCATTTAATCAAGTCTGGTTGAGTGTCAATTATCATAGTTGCTAATAGAATGGCTACTTTCTTCAGTCTAAAAGTCTATTTTGAGACTAAGTACTTTTAATTATCTATCATCAATTTCCACAAATAAAGTATTTACATTATCCACCAAGGAAACTTTAAAATATTCTGTATCTAAAGTTTTCATTTGTAAGTTGCTTGCTTGAAATTCAGAGTATTTTTCAGAAGTAACAGTAAGTTTGTATGAAAAGACTTTTTGTACACACACTGAGGAAACAAAAGAAAGCTAGGCAAATAGGGACAGAACCACAGGAAGGGAAATAAAACTGAAAACCCAGCTGGACGGACTTACGAGGACAACCTAGCTGGGAGGTAAGGACAGCACACACAGAAGACAAACTTTAAAATATATGGATATTGCCAAGACAGGCAGCTTGCTGATAACCGATCACCAGGTAATAAGGTGTAAAAACCAATCCGAAGGATGTTGCTAAGCCTAAATTCTTTGAAAGGACCAATCAGGAACTAACAAGCATAAACTAAAAAAGTGCATGCACTTCTGCTCTCTCTCACCCTCCCTGTGCTAGATCTTTGAGTTAATGGCAGGAGGTGCACTCCCTCTCGCATGGCTTATGGCCATGTGGGCCTCCACACATGGACTATTACACTTTAATTAGCTTGGATACTGAATTGCTCCCCACTGTAACATGAAAAAGGAAGCTCTGGCACTGTTTTGCTCCTCGAATCCCAGATGCATCTTTTCCAGGATTGGCTTCTCTCAATAAACTTCAGTTCCACTAATCATTTTTGCCCACGACCTCATTCTTCAATTTCATGAGACAACAAACTTGAACTCAAGCACCCACATGTCAGTTTTACACCCATGGTTTGTCAGGGTAATCCAATAATCTCATAGAGACTCACATAAAATTATCCATCTTAATACTTTTCATCCTAGCATATCATGGGCCTTAGTAAGTGTTCAAAGGATAGCAATGCTCATGAAATAGGTGGTTCCGTAGGTTTGGCCCAGAGAGGGGAGGGGACTTGGACCTTAAAGAATGCCGAAACAGGTTTAGCGCAGTGAATAGAGCGTCGGCCTGCGGACTGAAAGGTCCCAGGTTTGATTCTGGTCAAGGGCATGTACCTTGGTTGTGGGCACATCCCCAGTGGGGGGGTGTGCAGGAGGCAGCTGATCGATGTTTCTCTTTCATGGATGTTTCTAGCTCTCTATCCCTCCCACTTCCTCTCTGTAAAAAATCAATAAAATATATATTTTAAAAAGAATTATAAGATTCAATAAGGTAGAAGGAAAAGAGTAAATAGAAATTAATGTATAACACTAACCTCTATGAATACACACTAAAGACATTTTAGCCCTGTATAACATACATATATTCAGTGGGTAAAAGTTTTTATCCCTATTTAAAACAAATAAAGACATAATTTATTCTCTGCTGTGAAATACTTACATGTACACAAACCTAGTAATTGTTGAAATCACATAATGAAAATATGTATCAAACCAGTCATTAATTCTGCTATTAAGTTGGTCAATTCAGTCAGCTGCATGCACTTATATAATAGCAATAAACCCAAAATACTCTGACTCCTCAAGCTCATTAAAAAACAAACAAACATGTTTTATATGTAGGCATTAAAATACCACTCCACCCAGTTTGGCTCAGTGGATAGAGTGTCAGCCTGTGGACTAAAGAGTTCAATTCTGGTCAAGGGCATATGCTAGGCTTGTGGGCTCAATCCCCAACAGGGGGCAATGTTCTCTCATCCTTGATGTCTCTATCTCTCTCTCCCTTTCCCATCTAAATATATAAAAATATATTTTAAAAATACCAATATATAAAAAATTACCAATATACCTAATGTAGAAAAGAACACAGTAAGTTAAAAATAAATCATAAATGTTCTGCATAAAATATCTTGCAAACTATATCTCTTCTTATGGGCTGGATGAATAACATAGAAAGCTTTTTCTGTCTCATGGTTATTTTATAAGCCCTTTCTTTGAATCAAGGAGTAGATAAATGATTTACAAACTGATGGATGGAAACGTTTTCCTACTCAATGAGGAGTTTTTGTTAAGCAAAAATTAGTTGTATAACCAAAGTTTCTTTCTTTAAGAACCTTCAAGGAACCTTAGATGTAATGACTCCTAAGGACAAATATTTACATTGAATTTATATTTGTTAAAGCTTTTTCACAAATATTAACTCCTTTGATACTCATCAATACAATTAAAGACAAATAATTTCTGTTTCACATACTATCTTAATAAAAGAGTAATGTGCAAATTAACCATCACTTCACTACACCCACATGCCATGCCCACAAACCACACCCCCAGCCAATCAAGAGAAAATATGCAAATAAACCCATCAAAGATGGCTGTGGCCACAGAGAGCAGGAGGGAGGCTTCGGTTTCCCAGGCAACGGAGGAAGCCAAGCTTTCCCCCTGCCCCTGCAGGCCCAGGCCTCCACTCCAGGCTACAAAGTTTCAATTATAGAAGATAAACAAGTCCAAACAGGAATGGCGGCAGCCATGGAGCTGGAAAGAGCAGGAGGCTAGGGTTGCTCCTGGCAATGGAGGAAGTCAAGCTTTCCGCACATCCTGACAGGCCCAGGCCTCTGCTTAAGGCTACAAAGTTCCAATTCTAGAAGATACATAAGTCCCAAGAAAAATGGATGCCTTCACAGAGCAAGCAGGAGGCTTGGCTCCGCTCCAGGCTACGAAGTTTCAATTGTAGAAGATAAATAAATCCCAGATATCAGTCCCTCCACTTGGGTCGCCAGGGTGTGTGGCTGGCCTGCAAACCACCACAAGCCCCTCATCCAGGCCACCCGACACCCCAAGGGAACCCCCACCCTGATCCGGGACACCCTTCAGGGCAAACCAGCTGGCCCCCACCCATGCACCAGGCCTCTATCCTATCCAATAAAAGAGTGATATGCAGATTGACCATCACTCCAACACACAAGATGGCTTCCCCCATGTAGATACAAGATAGCTACCACAAAATGGTGAGTAGGGAAGGGCAATTGGGAGGGACCCAGGCCTGCAGAGGAGGGCAGTTGAGGGGAACCAGGCCCTGCAGCGGAGGGAAGTTAGGGGCAAACAGGCTGGTAGGGGAGCAGTTTGGTTTCAATTAAGCTGGTAGGGGAGTGGTTAGGGGGTGATCAGGCT